CTAACTTTTTATCTATTTTTCATTTCTCACATCATAAATAGGCATGCCATTCTAATCTTAAATCGCAACACTTAAATGTTAAAGTCAGTTGATCTTTCATCATCTTAACATTAAATAATAACATATTTAATTCCTCAACATTTTCACTGAATCCATTACAATGTTTCCATTCAGTGTTTTTTATGAAGAAATATTATACATATACATGTATACGGACATGGTATTGGATAGAATTGAGTTAAATATATTAGTCCGGCCCTCGAAAATCATTCCAGCTTCTTATATGGCCTTCTAGAAAAATTAATCGCCTATCCTTGGTTTAGTCCCTTAGTTCCTTGGGATACTTCAGTTTAGCGACAGTTTGCATTTGACTTTTACGTGTGCGTTGACATTGCATATGGCCCTGTGGAACGGAATGTCAAACAATGTCAGCAATCGTCGGTAGATGGTTGCTTGCATATGACAAATTTGTTGTTCAAATCGAGAGATCTGTGGTCAAGGAAAGTATGGAAGGGAGCAAGAGGAAAAACTTTTTCATGGTATCTTAGACAATTAGCAGGATACCACGGGATTATAATCCATAAGTAGGAGAACTGGCTGAGTGAGAATGGTGCGTGTGCGCAAGTGGACGCATGTGTGTATGCAGGTAGCTGCTGCATCTATGTATGTTTGTGCGTCTGTATGATGCAGGTGGGGTGATCGAGGCGGTGGGAATCTTCTCTGTCATGTCCTCTCTGCATGGTATCGATCATCAGCGTGATCGATACACAAGTTCCTAAGCATGGGAAAGTGAGACAATCGATTGATCGGTAACGGTAGGTAGGGTGTGTGCTCTCGAGACTCATATATCGCGCTCTATCTATGCTTCCCTCGGCTCATCCCCCCCCCCCCCCCCCCCGCCATTTTTGACTAAATTTAATGCATGTAGCAGACTTTCATCTTCTGTAGGCCTCTTCTAAAAATGGTAGTTCCTGTTTCGCGGATTTTATCGTAAGCAGAGCGATCTCTCCTAAGTTAACCGTAGCTTAGCACTCAATCGATATCCACCGGATGGGTCACTTAAATCACCCATGCAGAATCCCATGAGATGAGTTTAGTTGAAAATATTTCTTTCACTGTTTGTCAGTCGGCTATTCGCTTCGATCACCTAAGTCTTTGACAGCAGGCCTTTTTCAATTATTTTCAATGTGATATATCGCCGCAAAAAAAAAATTTAGTCATTTGTGAGAATGGCCTGATATAATTAATTAAATTGAATGACTGGACCAAATTATTAGTTCATTTCGGTGACCCCTCTTATTTGACGTGACATGTTTTGTTAAATGGTACCGTCTCACACTCATCCCACGTCGCTTCAGATTATGTTCTTACGGAAGAGAAAGCACCATATTCTAGGGGACGCATCGTTAAGAAGGGAAAATTTGTAAATTAGAACTGGAATTAGATTGCATGAAATGGAGGGCAACATACATTTCATTTTTGTGTATGTACCGAGAATACTTTATTAAATGCGGAGAACAACAAGTTAGATTCACGTGTATACGTAAAGATAACAAGTGATATTGTTATGCAGTGCATTTACATTCATGTTTTTCGGGAATCCACTTTTCCGTAAAAAAAATCCCTGCAAAAGATGCGTTGCATCAGTGATTTGTTGAGTGAACAAATTACTGTTACTGTGTTACATCTTAGAACTGGTATTCCCTGTTCGGGCTGTATTCCTAATTCCGGTTATCATAATGGTCCTAACGATCAATTCCGTTAGTTTCGACTTTGTTGGTATTATGAATGATGGTAAATAAGTATTGCCGCTGTGTATTTAATAACCAATTTACATCACTCTTCATTTGACACACGTTATCTTTACTATCATTAGTCTGCTTTACTATTATAACTCTCATCATCACTCACAATCAGGAATGATATGGATCCGATTATGAAAGAATGACGGTTTACCTATCGTTCTCCTCTCCCTAATATATTTCGAACAAAAAGAGGGGCATTGAAAGATCGATTTTGAGAAGAGAAGGGTGAGAATTTTCTCCCTCTTTTACCTTCATCATCATCAGCTTATGTATCATACGGTGTCCACAACAACAGATACTGCTGCTATCGGTCCCACTGGCATCGTACACTGCCAACAGAATGCAAATTATGTTACAGTAAGTAAATTTCAGTTAAGCTTTCATTGAAGTTTGGACAAGTAATGGTCAGATTTTCGATATATTGGTCAGTTAGAGAAATTGCTTGAAGAGGATTAAAACGAATATCTGACTTTTTCTTGTTCATTTTGTTGATGCATTTACATTATTAGCGTGTTAGAATTTATAGCCCTCAGAACATTATGTATTTGTTCATCATGTTGAATGCTTACGAGATGGTGGCATTCTGGATCCCGATGACCAGCTTTTTGACGTTTTTGATGAGAATAATGATCAGGTTAGTGAAAATCATAGAAGGTTTCAAATCTTGCAACTTTACTGCGACAGCTGTTACGAGTTACATATTGTGTATTAGTGAATTACCTGGAATTAAAATAATCCGTAAATAAGTTGAAAATAAGTGGAAGACTTTTTGAATTGTTAGTATCCATCCTTCAGATGAAATAGACGCTTGATGAAAAGATTTGATGAATGTTTAGGATTTAGATTATATATATATATATATATATTGTTTAACTTATATATATATTGTTCAACTATATATATATTAACTTATAATTCCGTGGTCAGATAATTACTTTTCTAAGAGTTATGGTAGACCATTGACTTCTCAAATCAATTTAGTATTTGTTTTAGATATTAGCGATCTACGACGAACCAGGATTTGCTGTAGTGGATTCGACTCCAGCAAGTGCCTCTCAATTTGCCATCAACGGAGCGACATCATCAAGTTCTTCATCGGCAACTCCAAAGACCGCTGCATCAACAGAAAGTTCACTAGATAGTAAATTAAACATCATTTCAAGTTCCAACGATGGTGATATTGTTGAAATAACGAATATTGCTGTACCGCCAAGTTCGTTTTGTTGTATGCACACAGCCACACACATATACACACACCCACACACACATCCACTTGAAATGTTATTGGATTACTTGATTCTTCTGCTAGTAGCTGATGGCTTTTAGGAAATATTTCAAACTGTTAGGTGAAACTGCAAAGTTTTCACTTGTAGAAACAATGACGCTAGACAAATTTAAAATACGCTTAAAAATAGTTTTATTGGGGAATTTTTTCCAAAGAAATTGGTAGTCGTTTGCAAAGAGGAACACATACGATAGTTTATTTATTGTGTTTCATTTGCACAATTTACGATGATGTGATTTGAACAAATTAAATAATTTATTTTAGCTGATGGTTTACGAGTGACTTCGGACAATGCCCACACACTGCAACAAAAGCCATCGTCATCCTCAGTTATAACGGGTTCTGGATACGTTTCTCCATTGTCTCTTCCATTGACACATTTTGATCAGAAACGTAGTGATATATGTCGTATCTATCATTCTGCACTGAAAAATGTTAGCGGGTCACCGAGAAGTAAATATCGGGTTACTATATCTCCAGGTTTTTAATTTATTTTGTAATCCATTGTAATTGATTTGTTTTTTTATACCCTTGACTTTTTGTTGGGTAATTGACTAAGAACAAAGAGGTCTTAGTAAAAACAAAAATTTTGAAAATTGTTCCTTGTTGATTCACTTTCTTAACCATGTATTTCTCAGTCAAGACGGTAACGGAAATGTTTAAATATATCCTCATTTTCTTTCACTTTTCATTATTCATCAAGAATCTGCTTTAAATTTTGTATTTATTAGTGCTTTTTCTCTCTCCCATGACTTAATTAAACTTTCTATGCCTACAGCTGCAAATTATATCCTACAAGATGATCTCCATGGATATATTTAAAGTTATAATGCTTGGGGTCTTATATTTATCTCTAGATGCTGATTGTCAACCATCTCAAGAATCGCCAATTTTCACAAAACAGTCATTGATGACTCGAACATCTGCTAGGAAATCGCGTCTTACTGATAATTTTTTCGATGCCAAAGAACGACTGGAAGAAAAATTAACAAGTAATATCAAAAGTCGTACAGTAAAAGGAGACGTGAAAAATATGAAATTAATACCACTGATGGAGGCAGCAAATCGAGAACAAACAGTGATTATACTTTCAGATATCACTATTAATATGAATTTGGGTATTGAGGTATGTCTATTTTTCCTTTCACAACAATCATCTTCAGTAGCCGTTTGTTATATCATCTTGATCAAGCAACCTCAAATAAAATGAAGTATTCGAGTGTTTTTTCGAAATGAGGGAAAGTAAGGTACCTATTGAGGACAGAGTGAATCAGAAGAGTTTATGTTTCTGATTCATGTATCAAACATGCCCTACTGATTTCTTTTCACTTTTCAATCGATCCTTGCAAATAGTAATGAACAGTGGATTAATAATGAAAACTTATAAATTAGTCACCGTGTCGTCCCTTCATCTTTGAAATAAGTCGAAGAGCATCAAACTAAAACCCCTAAGTTTATTCAATTTCGGAACTTTTAATTGTTTTTTTTTCAGATTTCACCCGTACATGATCCATCAAACAATATGCGCTTACAAGCTGTAGAAATCCGGCAAATTGACGATGAGGGTCGAGTTGGCAATGATGGACGTCTTCGGATTGGCGACCGTATTGTAGAAATCAACCAACGTCCTGTTTATCAGGTCAATAACCAAAAAGTAGTGTTACACCGGCTCAATCAATGCACATCTTTTTGCTAACATTTGGCAGATGGTTTTTTAGAAATACAGATGAATGAAATTATGTCAGTAAACAGCGAAATGTTCAGCAATTTCAACTTCACTTTACAGATGTCGATCTCAAGAGCACGTGCCTACTTACATGAAATGCAGGCAGTTGCTCATCCAAGTTTAACAGTCGATCGCTCAATAGAAACATTTACAAGCGATAGTAGGTTCTTGATTGTCCACAAATTATTCAGTGAAATTTATGGGATTTTTTCATTCACGACGGCAGGGAATTCCTTCCTAATTTAAGTCGATATCCAAATAATGTGGAGCATAAGGCAGCAGCGCAACAGCCGAATTAAAATATAACTAAAGCAATTACGTACATTTGACGAACATTTATATCTTAGTACTATTAGTAGTATCGCATTAAAAGCTTTAGCAATCTTATTATTATGGTTACTTTGTTTATTATTTTGAACTGTGGACGGCATAATAAAGAAATGAAGACAAGTAAATGCTAGGAACTGTCAACATCCTTTTTGAAATTGGTACCCTTTCGTTCGGGCATGGAATTGAATTATTTCGAGGTTGCAGTGAACTGAATATTCAAGCAATTCTGGTAAATTCCCGGCTTTACTATGCAGTACATTCTGGTATATTTTAGATATTATGTTAAATGATTCTGATGTTTGCCTTGCAAAACTATGTGTTTTTTGACTTCCAGCAATTTCTCATCGTAGTCAGTCATCAACGAGCAGTTTGCAAAAGCGGCCAATATTCTCTGCGCTGCAGCAGGCCAACACAACAGCTCTTGGGATAACATTTCCAGTGGAAATTGTTAAAAGTTTGTCATCTTCTAGTTTATCTTCCTACAATTTATTAGTTTCCATAAATAGTTGGAAGGTGCAGTTCCTCAAAATATTAGAATATTCCATTGATGGTTATATAATTTGCGATTTTGCGAAAAGAATATAATTTTGTGCAGGAACTGATACAATATTTCTTAGGAAGTGGCGGATTCGGTTTTACCATAACGAGTCGTGAAACTGCTAAAGGTGAACGACTATTCTATATTGGTACTGTGAAAACAGATAGTGCTGCGGTTAATAAATTAAGAGCTGGTGATAGGTTACTACAGGTGGTAATTTTTTTTCTGTGGAAGTGGTTATGTTTTTACGTTCTTTTCTATTTACCACATGCAATGCTTTATTTGCTTCAATTCAATTCTAGAAGTGCTGCGATTACTCTAATTTATGCTGTAGCATTTTGGACTTCGTTGTTAGATGTGTGGAAATGGTTATGAGTCTTTCACTTACCTTATTTTCTCCTCCGCGACAAATTTTAACTTTTTTCTCCAAATTTTAGATCAATGGTGAGAAAACAACTGAACTTACCCAAAATGATATGGTCGAACGTCTCAAGAAACTAGATGTTGGTGATTCAATAAACTTATTAGTTTCGCGATTAGGAAGCCAGGAAAACGAAAACCACAGTCCAACAATATTGAAAAGTAATCATGACGATAATGAATGCTGTCACCCGAATGAAGGGACGGAGCGATATGGGTACACTTAATTAGCATTTTCATTCAACTGGTTCTTTAAATACGAGGTTTAAAACCTTTAATATAAAATGTTGAACACTACATTTATGTTTAGGCATTGCCAAAATTTGGGATAAGACGACTTTGAAGGATATGCTTCTTAAATGTGTGGTGTTCAATAAAACTTCTGTTTGCTATGCTTTCGGTCGATAACCTTAAATTGCTTAATGATGCACTGCATTAAATTGCTTAATGGCACTCTATAACCCCGTAGGGGCATTTCAGACAACGTGAAAGGATTGTGTATCTTGACTATATCCAGGAGTAATTGTGAGATGATTTATGAGATGAATCATATATTTTGCTATTACAAATGAAATAAAATTTGCAGAGAGGAGATTTTGACGATGAAGATTGCTTTGAATGAAACTGGTAGTGCTGGATTGGGTATAAGCTTGAAAGCAAGAGCCGTTATGAAGCCTGATGGTTCGCGTCATGATTGTGGAATATTTATCAAAAAGGTTAGTTTTATATTTAAGTGTTTTCTGGATGTTTATTAAGTTGAAGTCAGTGCTGCTTCATTGATTTTAGCAGTGATTTTTAAATATTGTATTGTCCATCCTAGCTTTTTTTCCATCCTATTTAAATATTGTATTGTCCATCCTCTTTCTTTGTTCGGCAACTAAATTGTTGAAAAACTACACTTATATACCTCTCGCAGGTCTTGCATGGTGGTGCTGCATATAAAGATGGAAGATTAAAACTAGATGATCAGTTGATTGGAATCGAAGATATTGATTTAAGGCGAATGACGAGGAATTCAGAAGCTAGCAATGCTATCACTAAATGTTTGAAAAACTTAGGTAAGTGCTTGGAATTGCTTCTCATAAATTTAAACAAATTGGAAGTATTGTGAAGAAAATATTTAGTATGGTTCACTAAAGTCTTCTGTATTTTAGGACCTAACGCAAGTATTGTATGCTTACGTGTTGCAAGGAAGGTTGAATTACGCCGGAACAATGATTTTCTAGGTATGAGAAGTCGTAAGAGTTCTGAAGTTCATGATAAATCTCGGACAAAGTCCGGAGGTAAAAGGAGTTTTGTTAATATGTTTAATATATATGTAAGCATAGACATGTATAGATATTCGGATATTCAATTGTGCGAACATTAATGCATTTCATCTCGTGACTGGTGCATCCACATTTTTAACCAAGTCCAAATGTCGCCATACGCAAGATCAGTCATGTTGTCATGCATTTAACCATTTGTTTAAATAACCCTTATCTAAGCTATATGGGTAATGTGTAATATATATAACTTTAATGTATGCATAAATATATTGTTTATACAGATGATGATATTGCGACTGTAAAGAATCAAGAAACATCAAATAGTTATAATGCAGACGTATCAAGAGGCCGATTTAGCAGTTCGGACGAGCATTCCTTGTAACTTTTCTGTATATGTCATTATCGTTGAACTTTCTTTCTTCACTTTTGTGAAAATTTGTTGCAAGGATCGATTATAACTATATAGACGGTCCGATTACTTGTCATAAGTTACAATTATTGTATTTTATGTTCAGTCCGTTATTTCTTATTGAACCTCGTTAAACAATCCTTATTATACAATCATTGATATGCGCAGTCTGAATGATTATATCCATAGAATCGTCACTACTAACTCAGAGTTGGAGTGGACTGTTATTTCTATGCGTTCGTTGACTTAAAATGACCAATTTTAAACATACATGTTTTGAAATTATCAAAAATTGGGAACCTATTTTTAATAAGTGCTCTTTTATTTCATTTTTAATGTTTCGTGCAATCACTTTCAGAAATGCAAATGAAGATTTGGATTCCACCTCAAGCGATAGACAAAAGTCTGTATCAGAAGATGAAATAAGCCATGTTGATGGCAGTGCATTTAGTCGGAAAAATCCTGCCAGGAGGTCGGCATTTGTTTTCAAAATGTTCTAAAAATTTTACAATGTAAGAGCGTAGATTTATGAAAGACTACACTTAATAAGAAAATCAGATGCTGCATAAAATGGATTTTCTATATCTTCAAAAGGGAGTATGCGTCTTTATAATAACCCGGAGATTAATTTTCACGTGACAAAATTCCACCTTTGCAGATCGATATCGGAAAAACGGCATCTGACTGTTGGAAACGATGCAAACAACACGGTGCTTTTTCAAAAAATTAAGCATAATCGTCAAATGAGTGGTAAGTGTTCTCAATCATAGTTTCTGGAAGAGCTCAATATGGATGACTTTAGTACGCTTCTTTGGAGTTACTTCATGTTCAGTTTTATTTCTTTAGAAGCTTTAACAGTATTATTTTTCTGGAAAAACTTCGCAGTAAAGGAGGAGGCAATAGAGTACTTCTCATTTATAATGCGGCGATAGTATGATTTGTTTCTAGTGGGAAAAATATGGTTAAAGTGTCCGCTATGTTTCTTATCTTTCTAATTTCGTTTAACGTTTCATAGTATTGCATTATCTTTCTTATTTAAAAGGTTTGTTCAGCGTTTCTTTCGCATAAATTAAAGCTTCAGCTCCTCTATTGCACTGTTTTATTCCATTCATCGCTTCAACACGAAGGTCGCTTGCGATGTCCTCTTCACGGGGCGCTACATCGAGAAAAATGCCATCAGCGAGGCTTAGCATCAGAAATGATGCTCTGGTGAAAAAGTTCTCACTGGAAGATGTATAGGGAATCGTGAGAAAGTCATTTCCATCCTCCCTGCAAATTCTGTCAGTAACATTAATAATGAGAGCACAAATAACTCTTTTACCTCGTAAGCACAGTTTGTAACTGATTCCCGGTCAACTTTCATAATGAAATTTTTATAAATCTATGTTTCATTTTTCAATATAAATCTGAATTAAGCTGAAGATTATGGGAATATTACAAAAATTTACCTTAAACCGCTACTTTACTATCTTTAGTTTGCGTTTTCATAATAGTTACTAGCAAGAATTCGTCTGTGCAGTTCATTCCGTTTTAGTTTCAATAACATTTAGTCTTTATTTCTCTTAAGTTGTTCTAGTGTCAGTGCATGCTTTTTTTTTGGTATTGGAATATTAAACCGATCGTTTTGAGTGGCGGAATAGTTGTAGATGTTTGTATTGGTCTTTATCGGTATCTATTTCAGCATCTCCTAATCGTCGTTCATTAAGCCTCGAAAGTACGGAGGCGCACCGATCTCTAACATTGACAATTGCCTCAGCGTAAGTTCTATTTTTCTGGAAATATTACTGGTTGTATTTTTCTGTTGTTATTCTGTATAATCATTTACTTCTAAACGACTATTTTTAACTTTTGGGATAGTTTTGCATTGCAGTCATCTTAGGGAACCAACCGTTCGTGACGCTCGGGGGGAGCAAACGGCAAGACGAGGCCATCCGAGCACTCTCAAGCGAGCCCAGAAATCTCGATGTAATGGTTATGCTAAGCCGTCCATTTCCGATGCGGAAGACCAAACATCTTCAGGTAATTTTGCTGGTTTGATACGATACTTTATTTTCCTAGATTACTTTTAATTTTGGCGAACTTATCTGTTTATACAATGTGATATTTTTAGGGAAACATCGGGACGAACCGTATGCGTCATTACCTCGAGAAATTTCTGCTGCTTCTAAGGAAAAACGACAACGAAGAAAATCAGTTGGAAGGTATCTAACATTCTTTGTTTTTCAAATAGAAATTTTCTAAAAATAATGCTTGTTTAACATTTCTTCCATCATTAATTTGATTTGTTGATATTTAACATTTTTTAACATTCATTCACTTTTCCACATTTGACAGTATTGGTTTAAGCAAAATTATTGGTCTTGGATTAAAATTTATCAGCAAATTAAACTGATTAGTTTATAGATAACCAATTTTTGATTTGCAGTAGCATATTTTCAAAGATTACTCAGAGACTTGGTGGCTCGAGATCGCGTGATGCATCTCCAGAAAAGATGGTATCATTCGACTCTGCAGAAAGCAACTCTTTTGTCGATAAGGCGAGCAGGTTTGTGAAGAAAAAAGAAAGTGAAGAAAAAAAATTATAATGAGTGAACACAGCGATATTTCGAAGAAACTGAATTGATAAACGCAATAGATTACAGGAGAATAATTTAAAGTTAGCATTACTTAGAGTGCTTACCAAGCTTTGTTCACAATCTTCAACTATTTGTAGGACGCAAGATCATGGAGAGTGGAATAAAGAAAGCAAAAGTAATAAGTTGATAAGCAGAGCACCACCAACCTACAAACCATCGTCCTATGACGTTTTTCAGCTAGCAGATCCTGATTGCCTTGTGAGCGTAAGTCTCGTTTGGCTTTTCTTTTTAATGCCAGGATGATCGCAAAATACTGTAGAGGCCATATGAGGATGCAGCTGGATTAGAGTATATTAAATTAGGATATTTATTTGGAAATGCTGTAGTCTATTGCAGAGCTCTCTTCCTAACCATATAACATGTAAATTAAGCGTATAATTTTATAAAATCAGTGTCTAACAATTTCTTGAACATCCATTAGCATCATTGACAATTGTGAGTGCACCAAACAATAAGCAGTTCGTGAGAACGGCAATTAATGGGAATCTTCTAAATGAGCACCAACAAGCCTCAAATTTAGGATGTGCCTGGAACGCATAAAACAGAAATTGTTTGCAGCGGAGAGGAATTACCTATCGGTGGCTACATACGGGTTGCAAATTCAAAGTTCTACGATAGCATTATTGAGAGGTGGGCGGGTAACTTGCCAGCTTAAGCTAGCCTTTTGTAGGTTTCTGTCCTACATGCTTCAAGCACCCCTCCTATTTATTGCTGCTGCCGCTTCTCCGGAAGTTTTTTCTTGTACTGTTTTTTGGAAATGATGATTTAATCTTAATGAAATAACCGTAGTTTCAATTTTTCGTATTTTTTCATTCAATCAAAAAGAGGTTGATTTTTCCTCCTCTTTGTGAGTTTTGAATTACGATGAGCGTGTTTTCCAGCCCGCTTTCTGTGCGCTTCAAGCTTTATACACTGTTGAATACGAGATATGCGTACCTTGCATGACAAAAATGCATCCATCCCTTTTTGCATGTAATGTCCAGAAAATCTTTGTTCTTGCGCCGTTGCATAAATATTGTTTGATAAATGAGATTTACAGGGTTTCACTTAATTCAAGATATTGCCAAAAAATACCAAAGGATTTTAGTAAGAAAATTTCAGTGGTCTGAAAAAGTTCCTTGCAAATTTTTACTACATTTTACAAACCGAAAACTGCTTTCATTTGAAAATTCATCGGTCCTGCATGTTTTGTGACATTTTTTGTAATTCTGTTTTTGTCTTTCAAAAATCTGGATAGTATTTTCAGGAACAAGGAGCATCCGGAAATATGCCATTTGATAGGAGAGAACAATATCAGACAGCAGTTTGCAACAACGGATACAGTGGTCGGAAAGAAAGGAACTCATACATCAATCGTCAAACAAGAAAGTATGTTTGATCAAAATAATTGTGGAGCTGAAATTTATGATATGAAAATTGAGGCAAAGTATGGAACGTAGTTTGGACTGACTTCAGGTGGGATTCTCACACCGTTTTCCCGTTTTTTTTTTTTTTTTTTCAGCGGATATGGTAATGAATTATACGTACAATCCCATCAGCAACCGCAGCAACAACGGCGACAACAATACACAGTCCACTCGCAGTGTTATTACGGAGAACAACGCGAGCAACAGCAACAGCGCACAACTTATTACACGGGATGTAGTACCAACTACTACGATGCCTTCAATGCTTGGTTTGCATACAGTGCAGCTGCCACACACGGAAATATGCCTATCATTACAAGAAGAAGCGGATATCCATCCCAGCATATTTACTTACCTACAGCAGCAGAAACAGTGTCGTCGAACAGAGCAGCGGTACGACAAATTCACCACGAAAGGTTTGTTAATTTAGATATTCAAGTTTTTTGAATTAAATCCAATTCATTCTTACTACTGATGATACTGAAGTTGTAGATGGGTTCAGGACATGTGGTTTTAATTAATGTCTTGCTAAAGATGTGTAAGATTGCATTTTAACTTTCAACTCTTTTAAGCGACGGATTTATTTTAATTTCGGCCATTCTGTGGCCCACCCTGATATAGTGATGTAAAACCCAAAGCACATTCTTTTTTAAATAATATTTGCCGTCGTTGTTAGCTGTTGACAACTGAACTCTTAGACATTGAACTCAAATATTTTCGAATTCAAGGAATAGGAAATGAAGTGAATGGATAAAAAGCATAATTTGCTATTTAAGAACGTTGTGATCTTTGGGTAAATAGATTTAAACCTCCTGTGCAGTGCTTTTGGTGAAAATGAGCTTTAATTTCAAAGTGAACTATTCAGCTTCCAGTTACTAGCTATTTATCTCGTGGATACGCCTTGAAAATTAAATATTTTATAGATTCCGATCGTGTCCAACTCAATTTTCCTCATCAAGAATGCGAACGAGGCAGAGTATCGAAAGGACTGGTCCCTACTACGCAAGTGGCTATGCCTCCCATTCCGGTATTTCCGACTTCTAGAACTTTCTTTTTTGCGCCTTCCGTACAAACGTTAGGACATCGAATTAATGATTCACAAGCAGGAGCTCGTTCGAGTTTACGAAATTGTGGTAAACCAGTTTTTATCGAACCATCCAAAGAATGTACGTTGGCTAAAGCAAGAAATTCTTTGAAGTCTCAAACATCTGTGTTGATTCATAAGCGCTCCTGTCAAAACCGACAGCAGCAATCGTCACGGAGTCCTAATTCTGTAGAACCACTGTTGTTATCTTCGCAACAATCTCAGGAAAAACGATCCCCGAGCTTCTCTGACAGTTTTGTCCTGTCGTCTTCTCATCCTAAGGCATTTGTTCCTCCAGTACCACATCTACCTTATGGTTTTGATAAAGCTACTCTTTCATCTCCAACTTATTTGCAAGCATTACTAGAATCACCAGCAAGGAATTGCAAAGATACGAGGGTGATCAATATGCCGAAGCCAATCAAATATATCAAAATTCATTACGGACCCTCCTCTCATTCATTATCTTCCAAGTTACAGCCACTGCGAGCTAAAACTATGGCTATCCGATCTTCGAATAGTAATTCACTTCAACCGTATCAGCAGCAAACCACAAATGAGTTTGATTATCGGAAATATCTTCGATTGACACGTCGGAATCGTATAAATGATCAGGAACAACGACGAATAACGCTTATTGCAACGGTACCTAACGAAACAGCGTTTGTGAGGAGAACTGCGACTTGTCGTGCTCTTCGTCCCAATACCTTATATAATACTACAACTAATAGCAAGTAATAATATTTCATTTGTGAACTTCCTGGGCAAAACACAAGACCTTTCCAAGACCAAGATCTTCCCAGAGAACCACTCTCAGTTTTCAACTGGTTTTTGTCTCTTGTTGTTTAGTTTGATAGTGACCGTAAATTTGTTTGAAAACCTCATACTACTCGGTTAGAGTTCAGGGAGTTACGCAGAGCTGCCTTTTTGATTCCTCAAATTTTCAAATTTCTTATGCGATTTTAGTGATTTTATTATTTCTTCGGCGTTTAATTTGTAATCCAATTGCTCCTCATCATTACCTGTACATAATGCAATATGGATAATTCTGATTTCATAGTGTCGAATCGACATTTCCAGTCATGCAAAAGCTGAAGAAATATGGAAATGGGGTGATCGGGTATGGTCATTATTTAATTTGTATCCTTCGTTTAAAATTATTCGTTTGAATTTTATTTAAAACATAAAATATTTCCGAAATACTAGAAAAAATTGCAAATTTAATGAATTTGGGCACTTTCACTCTGTCTCTAATGTTACATCCCAGCAGCGCATTTCTGAGATATTGTTGAAGCGCAAACTCATTTGTCTCCTGTCAAATAAAATCATTCTTCTTTTAGTTTGTGCTTTTAATTATATGAATAATGGGGTTGTCGATTTTTCTGAACATCAGTGTGGAAATCATGGATGTAAAACGCATTCATTCCGTGCCATATGTTTAAAATTCAATGTTATAATTACGACTATTTGTTTCACTTTGTTTTCACTTCACTTCGATCATTTTCTTTGTTGCTTATGGAAGAAAATATATATACTATTATCATCAATGTGTTGCAGCTGAAAGATTCAGAAGCTTTCGGTTAAGAATGATTTACAATCTTCATGCTCGATTGGGACTTGTCATATTGACACTATCGTTTTTTATTCGAGTCAAACTTTCTTAAGAGTGCACGAATATTTTTCCGGATTTTCTGAACTCATTTATTTTGAGTTAATTGGTTCGTTTAATGTCATCAGGTCCTGTTTGTTTGTTGTGGCCGGTTGAAATAGTCAGTGAACACCGCCAGGATAGCTAGTAATGTTCCTGTTTTGCTTAGAATTGTGCACTAATAAATGATCAAGAAATTTTGCATGCTAGCGAAAGGAACTGTTTGTTTCATGTACTATGCGTTTTGCATAAAATCGAATCATTTCCTCGTGAAGCACCGTGCTACCAGAGAGAAGTTAGAATATGTGCGAAAATTACCGACCGGTGATTCTTTTTTACTGAACTAGTGTTAACATCCGTATGTACAGTGTCTTAAAAATTTTGTGAAGCTTTTGCAGCAGGCTTTTAACTACGGGTTTAACACATCCTAAATCGAAGTATTTTGCACAAGGTCGTGTTTTTTTCATTAAATTAGTTCCAAAATATGTTTAATGATTTATGATGTCTTTGTAGGCTGCTATTTACAACAGCTTTATTTAGTGACAACAGATCTAGGAGAATGTGATACCAGCTCTGAGGTAGGTATTGTGCATCTTGACCGAATATGCATATGCTCCCTTGTGAATACCAGTCTTAGACTGTGTATGATTGGTTCTGTTAAAGTAGTGAAGGAGGAGGATTCATATTTCGTTGATTTACAAAAAGATCAGATTAGTCAGATATCAGATATTGCAGTTAGTTTTTTACTCAGTGTGAAGCAGCGTCATTGTATATTTATTATATTCATTTAGAGACCAACCACTTGGAATGACAGCACTCGTTCAAATGGCGACCAGTGAATGAAAGGAATGTTCGATTGATAAGAAGGTTCGTGAGTACCTGTCACTGAAATGAATATTCCCGGAATGTTTATTTCAGTCATGATCATCAGTTCTTTCAGAGGATTCTGAGAGCTTTTTGTTCAGTGATTGCAAGAAAAACTTCAAACAAATATTTCGTGAAGTGCTATATCATGACAGTTGACAACAACCGTTCTTCAAAGGCATCGAAATGCTGTGTTACCTACCTGTCCAGTAGTATCTATTGACGTACGCATACACATACCTGCGTACATCAGTATCATTTCCCTCAGGTATTGCGATCATCAGGCAAAAGTATTGGAGATGGATGAATGGCTGACTGGCTATTAATCAGATCAAAATTTCTTCATTTTGATTAGCATTCTGTACAAAATGAATGTTTGCTTTTTTCATCCAAAGCATTTAAAAAAAATTGAATGTTCAGTTTTGAAGTTTTTTACAATTTGTTTGAATCCGCTGGTTTTAAATCAAATGGAAATCAATGGAAATTATAAAAACTAACTGGTGCATTAATGACATGGGTAATAGAGTGACTTTGAAGAACTTATAGCACGATATCTGCTGAATTGCCTCTTTTATTTGGTGCTTTTATAACAATATTAGGCGGAAACTGGTGTAAACAAGACTGACAAATCTGTTCCCTTATATTATTGCAATGTCAAATTGTAGTGGAAAAAATGAAAGTAAAAGTAAAAAATGGAAATGAAATTCGCACCAAATAATAAACAACAGAGGGTGAAATCAATATTCGGGAAGTTTCATTAATGCATTTTGAAAATATTAAAGCTGTCAACCGTTTTTACATTCGTGGAATGGCAATAGAAGAAGCATTTCCCGAGAATCCTTCAGGCTGCCCTACTTCAGTGAAGATTGTGGAGCTAGAAAAAATAATCAATACAAGGATTCGCATTGTCATAATTCAGGCTTCAATAGCCGACTGATACGAAATTTCTTATAACAGAAATATATCGAGTGATTCATTCTACCGCAGGTTTTTCATTTGACTTGAGAAATACAGACAAGATTGAAATGAATCTTTTTAACAACCTTTAAAAGTTCAGTTTTTTTTAAACTCTTGAGCAAAAGGCGATAGCTGTCGAGAAACCGGAGAGAAATTATAGCACGTTAAAACAACCAAAATATGTGTGTCACAAATTTGTATCATAAATATTGTCTTATTTAAGTTTTTTCTTTTGATAAGTGGCTCGTTATATAAAAACCAAAATTAAATTGCTAACGGATCAGGTGATAAATCATTTACCTGGTTCCCGTAATGCTGTGATAAAGGACTGCTCTTCTGATAACCAAGCTACTTGTAATCTTTGGTTTTTTGTGAGTAGCTGGTCTGACAACCCAGCTTATGTACATTGATGATGGATGTACTGTAAAAGTATCTATCTAATCTGATAACCAATGGTACATGTTTAGACTTCCCAGTAAGCATCGCATTCCATTACTACTAATCGGTCCGAATACACATCTCACTCTCTGCTCTACCCTTCCACATAAATTGTGCACAGCAATGATTATGGTCTCTTCTGCTCTGATGTTTACTTCTTTTTTTTTAAGACTTCTTCATGGCTAGCTGTTGCGTCACTTTTGCATCTTTCTGCAACATTAGCTTGCTAATTACTCTTCCTATTACTAATTACTTCTCAGTAATTGCTACCGAGCAGTTCTCTACAGTGCGAGTGAGAATTGCTGAAGAAGGATTGCGATTTTTCAGCAAAATTGCGCATTACATCGTATGTCTCCTCTTCGTCTTTAACCTTTCATCTTTCATTGAGTGACTCTCCTCATTAGCAGTTAAAACTCATCTCTATAGTCGTCTGTTATTGAAATTCTGTAATATGATATTATCAGGCTATAGCAGTTTTTACTTACTAAAGTCGATTATTTGAAATGATTCGTGACAAAATCTAATGATGTAATTGGGATTTGAATGGAACTGTGCTTGGTTAGAAAATAGTACTTTGCATAAATTATAATTTAGAATCTGATGGAATATAAAATTTAGGTTGACAGAGAAATATGGCATATAACACTTCCACAAATAACAATTCCAATCGAAGACGGACCTGGCACTGGTGAAGTGAATGTAACTGAGCTCACATTGCGAGCATTCAAGTCACCAATCTTTTCATTTGAATTAGCTCCACCGAATGGTATCATTTGGCAATCTAAAGGTGGATCGGTGACACAGGAAGCTGTCTGGTTTGCTGACTACTATTTCATCGCTCCAGTTAGTTCACATAATTCATCACAATGTTCTCTTGTCCGGTAAAGTTTATCAAATGATGTTAGTTTAAGACCTTGCATTTCAACATAAAAACCTTGCTTTTGAATCTTGCCTAATCTGGTATAGTCCAGAACACAATAGCCACTAATATCAAGCTAATTTATGATCAGTCCATGATTCTTGGTCACTTTATTACAGATTTATCTCTCGGGATATGTTAAAGCGAAAATGGATGACATCCGTGTTTATATGCAAACCAATTTATTAGTTCGAAATGAGCGTCCACAGATTGAGATCACTGATTGTTCTACGGATGTTCAGCAACTTTACGTGTACATTACAGGAGGTGTCATACAATGGGTCGTCAACTTATTTAGAGCGCAATTAGCTTCTGTAATCAAGCACACCATACATGAGAAAGTTTGACTTACACATCTTTGTTTGAGGAGTTTTTATACAATGTTTATGAAACTGAAGGAAAAATCTTTAAAAGATTTTTCTTTTGAAAAAATCTGAAAATCTAACACCATCAGAAACATGCTTTTTTGAGTTGGTGGCTTGCAAATGGGTTCTGTTCTCACTTATCTGTCTTTTAGATCATTAATCACAACCAACGACTGCTCGGTTTGAATTTATCTCTGAAACTTTTTACATACAAATTCTTGCTTTTTAGCGCTTTCCGAATTATGAAATTAAAATAAGACACGTTTGGAGTGGGTGTATCGAAAAGCAATTCATTGATGATAATACATTTGACAGATGTGTGATGTCATACGCAAGACTGTTATTGAGATCAATGCCGCCTTATTAGCATTTTCTACTCAAGTTAAACTATACAAAAACCTGTATGTGAGCTATTCATGCAAGGTATTCTTATTGATTCATTCTTTTTTCTTCTATATGATATGAATTTACGCAATCTCTCTGTGAAATTTATGAGGAAAGAAGTGAAGCAAGTTACACTTCTGGGATTTATGCTTCACCTTTGACCGGAAATAACCGAAAAAGAAATAACCGAAAAAGCTACATTGCGCGGGAGGGGAATCAAATTTAGATAGTTATAGCGGGATTGTTTTCGATTTATTTGGAAATTTCATTTCTTATGAAAATTAGCAGTAGCTTATATTTTGCATCGTTTTTCCTTTTTCTTGTGATAAGTTATTGGTTGGAATCTTCCGCAAATTGTCTTGAATGGCTGTCAATGTTTTTGAATAATTTTGGCTTCATCTTCATTTTTTTAGCAGAAGCCTATAGTAACGAGAAAATACATTGAAAGTGAAATGGTATTTGATGTAACGTACGGACAAGACAGATGTACGCTGCCGACTGAGCAGATGGATGACGGTTAGCTTATCCCTTATTTCTTATTCTCAAAAATTATGTGCACCCTCGAAATTCGAGATTCTGGACAAATCAGGTTAAGCTTGTGGCTGTTTTCTAATTGGTGTGCGAAGAGTAGTTAAGCGTATACTGATAGTAAAAGAGAACTGATATACCTCAATAAAAAATATGTTCATCTGTTCTGGTTTGTCCATCCGCAGTATTTCAGTCTTCTGGGTCAACGGGTCAAAGATATGTTAAGTATTAGGAGGGTCACAAGAAGAACAACAGTACACATATACAACAGTAATGAATGCTAATAAAACCGAAGAAGCAACATATTTCTGCGGAGAAAGTTAATTCGGAGATTCGCTGATTTGCAGTTTCTTGGAAGGCACATCTGCCTACTTGATTTACTTTAGATAAAGCTAAGCTATGAGCTAGTATTCTCCAGAATGAGATAACCAGGAATTTGCTTATAGAAAGGTTAAAGTTTGTTGTTTTCTTTACCCCGGCAGATTCTCTGAACTTTTGTCAATCATGCAATCTAATAATAACTAAATAAATAGGATGGGTAAATATTATTCTTTAAACCTTGTGATATCACGCAGATTATTTATCGAACAGATATTATACAGAGGTTGGTTCAAAGAGACGAATGGCATATATTTGGGTATCGGAATACATACCGAATTGTTTGCTGAAAACTGCATATAATAGTGAAAATTTGACATTTACTATAACGCCGAATACCAGCGCTGGTCGATTTGCAAGCTTTTTGAGAACTGAGTCATTTTTCATTCATTAAAAAGACTGTCATCTTTTTAATTACCAGTCGAGCCATTAAAGTTCATAAAAAACTTGGTTAAAGAGTATCATGTGAATCCAGGAAAAATACTAGCCAAAATTTGATTCATGCTGTTTTCTTTAGGCGACGTTCAAAGTAGTAGAATTAGAAATTTTTTGTAATTACAACTCCAATTAAAATTTAGCTGTAAATTGTTTGCAATATGTATCGGAAAATTTCTCCCAACTTTGCGTCTGCTGTATCCCAATCGGACCACTTACCTTTTAATTCGATTAGCTGAAACTCCGTATACTGTCATTGATACAAGTGGTATACGAATATTCGCAAGTTCTACCGTTGATTTACATTTATCATCTGAGAAGCAACAATCGCACAGATTAGCTAGACTTGGTAAGAATCTTTTTTTTTTAAATTAATAATTTAATTCAGTTATTTAATGGAGAACTTTGGATCAACAAAAGAAGCTCTAACTTTATAATTGAACAAATAATTATTTGATTCGCAAAGAAACTGGCGCACTGAGATTTTTTAAGTAGGGCACAGCGTGTGCGGAATTGTCCTCACCCTTTACTCCGAAGATTCATCTACAGGGTCTAGTGAGCTAGGACGATGATAATAAACTTTTCAGGATATAGATTTACTTAGAGGTTCTTTTCTTAGATGGATGGCCTTGGAATGCTAGATGAACTCCATCTGCGGATTTGGAGCTAGAGTTGTCCTTCTCCTAGAGCAGTTGCCGGAAGGTTAGCCAGCCCATCATGCCTCTGGACACACTTTGTTTGATCCATCAGTTAAGATCTGTCTGGCATTGGAAACCAATACCAAAGGTATATACCATGACCAGCATAGATTTCAACCTCATTAGGGCACGAATGCTTCTCCCCGGCGACGAGGGGGTACCCGTGAAGAAATTTAACTATAATTATCTGCAATTAACATTTATCACTTCAGTGATGAACTCAACAACTTATACGTTGCCTGCAATCTTACAGAGGAAAGTTGTGGGTACTATCAGTAATGTTACAATAATATTGCGTGAGCACGATTCAACTATCGGACATTTCAATGTTCAGTACGCTTTTTGATTTTGAATTTTAGATTTTACGTGAACATTTTCTCGATGAC